GTAGTACCGCTACCATTTGCGGTAGTACCGTGAGGTCGAACGGTAGTACCGCTCCGGCGGTTCTACTGGCATTTTGCCTCCTCGCTGTTGTTTTTCAAAGGGGAACTACCGCCCTAGCGGGTAGTACCGCTCTGTGCGGGCTATGAGCATAACAGTTGGATTTCCCCCCACCTATAAAAGGGGATCTTCTTACCCATTGAACCTTATCCTATGAGCTCGTGTTCTTCCCCCATTGTTGACCTTCTTCGAGCTTGCTAACTCTCAATCCCTTCATGGATTCTTGCTAGTTTTTGAGGGAAAAGAGAGAGGAGATCTAGATCCACATTTCCACCAATCACTTTCTCCTCTATGTGAGGGGAACCCATTGGATCTAGATCTTGGAGTTCTTGGTGTTCTCCTTCTTGTTCTTCCTCTCATTTTCCTCCCTAGCATTAGTTGCTTCGGTGGGATTTGAGAGAGAAGGACTTGGGCACTCCGTGTGCCCTTGCCATTGCATTTGGTGCATCAGTTTGAGTTCTCCACGTGATGCGTGGAAGTTACAAGTTGAGAAGCTTATTACTCTTGGGTGCTTGGTACCCTTGAGCTTGTTACTCTTGGGTGTTTGGACACCCTAGAGCTTGTTCCTCTTGGGTGCCTTGGTGCCCTAGACGATTGGTGTTGTTTGGAGCTCAATCATTGTGGTGTAAAGCTCCGGGCAAGCGTCGGGGTCTCCAATTAGGTTGTGAGATCGCCCCGAGCAATTTGACGGGTACCGGTGACCGCCCCCAAGGGTTGCCAAAGTGTACGGGGTCGGTGACCACCCCCAAGGGTCGCCATTTGTACGGATTCGGTGACCTCCCTCAAGGGTCCCTTAGTGGAATCACGGCACCTTGCATTGTGCGAGGGCGTGAGGAGATTACAGTGGCCTTAGTGGCTTATTGGGGAGCATTGTGCCTCCACACCACTCCAAACGGAGATTAGAATCCGCAAGGGTGTGAACTTTGGGATACATCGTCGTCTCCGCGTGCCTCGGTTATCTCTTACTCGAGCCCTTTACTTATGCTCTTTACTTTGTGATTGCCATATTGTTCTTTGTCATATATCTTGCTATCACATAGTTGCTTATCTTGCTTAGCATAAGTTGTTGGTGCACATAGGTGAGCCTAGTTGTTTTAGGTTTTGTGCTTGACAAATTAACCGCTAGGTTTATTCCGCATTTCTTCAAGCCTAAACCGTAATTATTTTAAATCGCCTATTCACCCCCCCTCTAAGCGACATCCTCGATCTTTCATGCACTCTGGGAAGAAGTTGTAGCCGATCCAGGACGTGTGTGGGCGCGCAAAGATGTGGACGTCGCGGGAGTCGCTTCTGCCTCGATGGACGGAGGAGAGATGTTCTGGGCAGGCCTGGCTCGAGCAGGGGCTCGGTTCGGCATGGCGACGGCGTGATGTGGAGAGCTTACCTCGGCGGCGGGAGGAGGCAGAAGAGGGGAAAAGGGAGCAAGGAGGAAACCCTAGGTTTGTGGCAGGATTTTATAGGACGAAGGGAGCAGCTTCGATAGTCAAATGTACCGAATTGCCGACATGTAGGCTCTGGATGTCCTGCCGTACAGGGAGAAGACAATGAACACAGGAATAGTGCTGGTGGGATGGATTCGAAGGGGTAAGTGAGGTGGCTTGCTGCTAGTGGTCTGGGGAGATGGGCTGTTACTGCTGGTGTTGGGCTCTCTCTCTCTCTCCCTTTTATTCTTTCTTTTTTCAATTTACTCAAACAAAAAATAAGGGAGAAAATATCAGAGATGAAGGGAAGGTGTGAGAGAGAAATGAGAATATAGCTAGAGTCCTGGCATTATGCACAATTTGAATAAATGTACTTGGCAATTTTTGTAGATAGAAACATAATTCAAGATTGAATTAAATTCAAACTTGATCCATTTTTGATCCAACCAAATCAAACCCAAGTGAGCTGAAATTTGACAGAGAGGTTGTTCGCGCGGTGTAAGATTTACAGAAAGTGAGTGAACATTTTACTAGGACAGGAAAATGCCACTTGCAATAAATGGGTGAGAATTGAAAGAAAGAAGCTAGTGATGGGATGTCGCACTTGATGATGTTTTAGATGGAAAGGGTAAGATGAAACAACAAAGAAGATGAGGACAAGGAGTTCACAATGATAACAAGCACACAATAAATATGCACACTACAATGATGACCATGATGCAAATGCAACAAAAATGACAAAGGCTATATCGCATCATGAAGCATAGAACAAAGCGAGACGACCATGGAAAACAAACAAGGATGGCACAATGCAATATAATAAAAGATGAACATGGTGCAAGAAGCAAAATATGGCAGTGTGATTCATCATGATCATGGCAACAACAAAGGAAAAAGGAAATATGCAAAACAATTATGACAATGCCAGACACAATAATACCCATGCCACAAAATAGAAGGAACAAAGCAAACAATGATGATGATGAAGCCACTTATATTAAAGCCCATATGGAAATCACACATGACAAGGTTGGATAAGTTACAAAATAGGAAGGACCGCACTTGGGCTGTTACACCAATTTTGTAACAAATATTTGGTAGGTTCTTCAAAAATAAACTCGCTTTGGGCACTAAAAAGATGGAAAATGGATTTTCCGTGCAAAGAAAGTGAAAACTTCCTTAGGCAACATTGTTTGTCATTCCAAGATGCGAACTTGTGCAAAATATAATATCATTTTAACAAACTATGCCATGAATGTTTCCATAACATTGGCCATTTAACTTCAAAGCGATGGATGTTGATACATGATAGCTCGTTTTTTAGAACACTTTTCTAAGACATTTGTGGTAGTCCAAGTTTATTATTTTTCCTAGAAACTAGGTCACATATGATGACACAATGCGAAGGTTTTCATTTTTTTTATTTTTTTGAAGTTTTTATGCCCGTTTCAAAATGCAGCCAAAACGGTGGGCATGACGTTTTTAGCTAGGGGTTGAATCTTGCAAAACTTTTGGACTATCTATGATTAAATAGATACTTTTGTTCCTAAAAATGATTTTTGAAAAATAATAAAGAGCAAACTATGAGGCAACGGAAATTTGTCTTCTTCCTGAGAGGTGGATCAAAAACTTTAGACGCCCAACCATTTAGTCAATTGTGCACTAAATATGGCCTAATATTTTAGAAAAATGATTTGGTCCAAATTTGCAACAAATATTTGCTAGGTTCTTCACAAAAGAACTCGTTTTGGGCACTTGAAAAATGATTCTCTTTAAAAATAACTTATCTCTGAGAACACTTTTTGAAGATATTTGTATTATTCAAAGTTTGTTATTTTTACTGAAAAGTAGGTCACACTTGGTGACACGATGCGAAGGTTTTTCTTTTCTATTTGTTTTTTATAAATTTTCTAGGCTATAAAATAGTTGACATGATTTAGCATCTTATTTTTAATTGATTACGACCAATTTGAATGGTCTTAACGACATCAAAGGGGGTACTGTGTTCTGATTGGTCCAAATACATCTCACGCGGATCATGGATTAAGCACCGTCGAATGCTTCCGGATCCAACGGCAGCCCACATCCCCCTCGTCGCTTTGATCCCCTTCCTGAATCACACCGTGTCCCTCTCATCCTCGTCCACCCCCGAAACCCTAGCTCCCTTCTCCCCATCGCCGCTGTCGCTCCCTTTTCCCCATCGCACTCCTTCCCCATGGCCTCGCACTGCCCAGATCCACGCCGCACCTCGCCGTCCATGAACGCTTACCGCTTCGCCTCCGTCCCTCCCTCTCTGCCTCGTCTCTGTCTCCCACCAGGCCACACGCTGGAAAAGAGCAGGCGAGCCACCTCCACCCTCCCTGCGCTGGTCCCACCGCCGCGCTCAATTCCCCCCATACTGGACGAGCGCTGCCGATGGCGGCAGGTCACCATGGTCGCCTCTTCTCATGACATGGGGGCCGACATGGGGGCTGCGACCAAATCTTATTTTCAGAATATATTCTCTGCTGATTATACTCTTGAACCCTCTCCTGTTATTGATCTAGTACAGTCACACGTTACTGATGAAATGAATTATTCTCTACGTGCTGATTTCACCGATCAGGAGATTGCAGATGCACTCCTCTAAACTGCTCTGCTCAAAGATGGTTTCCCAGCATGGTTCTTCAAAAGAAATTGGTCCACGGTTAAATTTGCTGCAGCAGCCAATCAATCAGCCATGGTCTATAGCCGAGCCGCCGTGCCGACGCAAAGCCAGACCTCAAGGTCTAACACAAAAGTGACATTTTTTGTAGAATTGGCATGGCAGTGCAAGTCCTTGATCAGACACTACACTAGGCATGATGATTCTGGGTTTTAACTAGCTGACCTACTTGGATCTGAGAGTTTTACAAGCCAATCTTACAAAATCAAGAGGCAAGAGCATTTCAGGAAATAACATAACCGATCAAGGCGTGTATCGCAAACCAGCATAAACATTACATGCCTAATACGATGAACCAACCACCTGTTACAAGCCCAACCGACATTTTCTAACCAGCCAATGTACAGAGGGAAAACGATATTCCAAGCGGGCACTGAAGTGGCCAATGCTAAGCTTCAACCAAATGAGAAATGACCAATAACATCTATTACCTCCGTTCTAAAATATACGACATTTTGGTAGGCCCAACGGAGGTAGCATCAAAGTCTCCCCAACAGGAAAAGTAAATAAATAAGAAAATATCAGCTCCTGCCACAAAACAATGAGAAAAGCTTTCTACTGCAAGCATTGAGCAGATATGTAGTATAAATGAGACCTTGATCTCATACTCCCTCCGTTCCGAATTACTTGTCGCACGTATGGATGTATCTAGATATGTGGAACTGAAAATATAACGAGTCTGCTCACCATTATGCGTTCATTAAGATGCAATGCAAAGTCCAAAGCTGGATCACTACAACACATAGAGTTCTGAAGGTAGGGTTTCTTAACCCACTAGTTAAATAAGGGTTTCTTATAACCAACTAATAGAGATGATACTACAGTGACATAAAAAGCAGAACAGTGCTAGGCACCAGCACGATCAAAGCAACATTGCATGCTTTCTCAATATTGTTTAGCTTCTTACGGAACTTCTCATAGTCCTCCGCACTCCGCCTGAACATAAGGGCAATTAAATTAGTTAGAAGATAAAAAGGTATCACTTTTTACTTTTAAAGTATTACTCCCTCCGTGTCAAAACATAAGACGTTTTTTGACACTTTCAAATAATCAAAAAACATCTTATATAAAGTTACAGAGGTACTATATACATTCTGCAACTAGGTTTGTCTCAGGCAAGTCACAATTCACACAAAGTTCATCACAGGAGTCCTACTTTGCGTCTAAAAAACAAGACTAGAGTCTGCTGAATAAACATGAGAGCACTATTTCAATAGACATTCTGCAACACATATATTGTACCAGATCCAACAATGCTAATACTAATAGAACCTGAAGCAGGTGACTCAAGTCACTCACAGGAAACCCAAAGCATCCTGAACTGCTTAACCAACTCATTCTCAGTATCATAGATATAGAGTTGCGCAAACTTTGGTGACACACCCCTTGGCGGCACCAACGAACCTATCCGATGGTAGGCAACACCATTTATTTTAAGTATGTAGACACCCTGACCCACATTTATGCTATCATCAACCTTCGCTCCAAGAGAAGTAAAAGCAAACATCAAATAAGATCTGATAAGACGCATAAAAGAATTTGATCGAGGTCCACCATTAAAACCTCATCAGCTCATTCATTCAAAGGAGCAGGCCAGGGCCGATGCTTTTTCAGCTTCACATTACCCCGTTTACAACAAAGATTATGAAATATGCTTCTCTGAGACAAAGAGCTAAGATGTGTCGCCCTTTCTTCAAACCAAATAACAGCACCACAATAGGAGCAAGTATAATCTATACCGCCAAGGTAATTCCTCTTCCTATAAGAGGCTACAACCAAAACACGACGACCAGAATTGCGGACAATCAGATCGAAATAAACCCGGCAACCAAAGAAGCGACCACAAAGCACGGACACAACAACAAAGATACCCCTGGCTAACCTTTCAAATAAGCCACATACTGTCTAGACATATAAGGAACCCAGCCAACAGTGAATCTCGGCACCTGTACACCTAGAACAGCAGTAAAACATCCAAAAATACCAACAGGAAGACTGAGCCCAACAGATCCAAAAGGAAAGCACCTACAACCAACGCAGAAGGAAGAGTTCACCAAAGAGATGAAGCCTGCGCCGAATCCGCCACTTCATGCAATTCTCTCTAGCCATCTGAGCGGACACATAAGGGGAAAATGGATCGCCTATAACAACCTATGATCAGCCCAACCCAATGCACATATGTACCATGAATACACATAGAACAAAAATCAAATAAACATATACCAGCAGGTCGATTAGTGACCACCAGCAGAGCATGAACCATAACAACACTGGCAGCCAATCAAGGACAAACAGTCCTTGCAGCACTGCTGCTGCCAGGAAAAGAATCGCTGTTCCCAGAAACTGCTACTATTGAAGGAGCAGACACGCATGAAAGCACGGCCAAAACCACACAACGGAACACACATATAGAAACTAAACAGCATACTACGCCGCTTTCTAACAGCGGAAGATGGATGGCCATCTCTTTCAGCCATAACAGACGAAGAAAGAGACTTAAATACACAGACATCACAGAAAATAAATTACTGCAGATTAAACCATATGGTTAACATCTGAAAGAACACACACCAAGATTGGACACAGAAGGTAGCAACAATAATCAGTCGGATCCAATCGAAGCCCCAGGTCCACCACGCAGGAGAGAAAGGGACGACGGGTACGCAGCAGCAAAATTTTCTCACCAAAGGGACCAGCAAGACAATCAGAGCACCGCTGAAAAAACCGGGCCCCTCCCAAACCGACCTGACACAAACCCCATGACCAGCGCATACCCGCAGCAAGCACGGCACCCCATCGATCGGCCACACCCCATACACGCATAAACTTGGGAGGGATTTATTTTATATTCTGATCCAAAACAAGTTAACTGTTTTTGTGTGAAAACTCAATAGTGTTCAGAAACAGTATTGAGCATAAAAATTACAAAAATGCTCGTCCAGTTGTATACTATGGTGGTACAAAGGTATTTACCTCTCAATTTCATCCATAGCATCCAAATTCTTGCGGATCTCCAGCATGCTCGCATCAAACTCAGCAGTCATGCGCTTTATTTCCTCACGCTGTTTGGCCAGCGTTTTATCATCATCAGAATAAGCCACTTGTCCCCCCTATAAAAAATTTGAAGGACATTAGTAAGTACTATTACAAATACTAGAAATTCACAAAGAAGTTGCAATGGAGTACAGTATTGCCAGAACTGCAGAATTCTGATTTGGGAAACAATAATCCACACTGTCCCAGAACTGAAGAATTCTTCAGTTAACGGGAGGACCAAATTTTCTGATTTGTGAATGTTTTGAATCACATGACCTGGGAATAACATCTGCTAGATTATCTATAATCAGTCAATTACTGCCAAGTATTTCAATACAATTTCACTGCAAATTTCAGCTGTCAGATCATAGATTAGGAGTTTATACAACAATTTGGCTGGATCAAAGGTTACTCCTACTCGCAGGATCAGAGGCGGGGGCAGCCGTCAGCGGCAGAGATGGGGGCGTCGGCGTCGCCCACCAGCAGTAGCAGCGGCAGCAGCAACCACCAGTACCTGCTCGTGGAGACGGCTAGCTTCGGCGAGGCGCGGGCGACGGGCGGCGAGGGAGGAGGGAGAGGGGGGAAGGGACCCGGCGGCGGCGGCGGCGGCGGCTAGGGTTTGGCACGTACCGTCGTTGAGAGGAGGCGCGCCGCCGGCGAAAGCCCCTGCACCACCGGCGACATGCGGCCGAGGGCCGGCGACCCGCGGCCGAGGGACGGCGCCGCCTTGCGGAGGAGGGACCGGATCGCCGCCGCCATCAGCACGAGCGGAGGAGCGGTGGTTGGGGGAGGACCGCGGGGTGTTAGTGCTCAAGCGACTGAGTCCATGGGCCAGCGCTCAACAGCAGCATGTATAGTATTCCTTAAATGTTCAAGAAATGTAACAAATTGTTCATGTAATTTGCAAAAGTGTTCACCTCATTCAAAAACACTGTCCACGCATTAAACCTATATTGATATCATTTTAAAAAAGTGATCATACAGCATAAAAGATTGTAAAATGTTTGTACCAATTCAAAAACAAATATGTTCCTGTAGTTTTCAGGACGTTGGCGTGTTTAGAAATACGGTCATGGTCTTTTTATGAAGTGTTAGGAAAATCTAGAGTTTTTTCGCGCAATCTTTAAATAATATTTGTACCATTCCAGGCTATTCGTGAAATTTAAGAAACGTTCACGAGTTTGAAAATATGTTTCGTGATTTTTTTTTATAAAATGGTCTTCAAGTGAAAAACTTTGATCGCGCAGTTTTTAAAAATGTTCATAACATATAAAAAAATTATGACATTAAAAAAAGATCATAAACACTTAAGAAATATTCGCACATTTTTTTTTAAAGTTCATGATATTTTTGGAAAATTCTTTGCGTGTTAGAAAATGTTCACTTTGTATTAAAAATGTTCAATGTGGATTTTACAACTTTTCACCGTGTATTTCAAATAATTATTTATATTGCATTTGAAAAATGTTTAGCCTGTATCTGAAAAATGGTCAAAATGTATATACGAAAAATGTTCAATGAGGTCGACATTTATTAAAAAAAGAAGAAAGAAAGAAAATAAAAAAATCAAAATAACGAAGAAAACCAATAGAAATGAGAGAGAAAACACACGAAAAAAACACGTGAAAGATTTTGGGAGGTTATTGACTTGAGAGGCTATCAAATCCTACCTCCATGGAGCAGCCGCTGAGGAAGGCAACATCCAAGAAGAATAGGAAAATGAATATGAGACAATGGCGCCTCCACATCGTGTAAATCTAGATGGCAACAAGCCAAAAGCCAGTAGGGAAGCAAACTTAGGGAATATATGGACATCATGGAGTGGGGGGCGATCCCTTCCCCCATCCTCTTCCGGCCAGCAAAACTGACGGAGAGAACAGGGAGAGGAGACAACGGAGTAGACGGAAAGGGGAACGAATGCGTGAGCGGGAGGAGAGAGAAAGAAATGGGGAAAATCATGGGGTTTGCACCTCTTGAATGGGTTGGTGATGCCCCACCAACATAGACCACGGATCATGCACTACCTCAAGAACTCAAGGGCCCTCGTCCAAAAAAACGAGCACCATACCATTGCTTCATCAAGAGCGAGAGGGGCAAAGGGAAATTGTTAGAGATCCCGATGCTCAAGGCAGGGGCCGCGGCGGCGCGGGCATGCGACATACACGTGCATGGTCCATCAAAATCCTGTTTGTGACCATGCAAGGGCACAATTTTGTCATTTTTTTTATGTCTTAGCAGACAAGTTGATTGTTTCTTGTTCAGCAAGTATACGACTTGGAAACTAAGTCGGTTTGAGATCGTGATCGCGACACGATACCTCTTCTGGCACTCCTCTATATACTGCCTACCGGCCACGGCCAAAGAGACACCAAAAGCCACCTAGGATTTTGCCTCATCCATAACTTGCACTACTGCAAGATGCTGCTAACCAAGGTTGTCAAAATCGCGATTCTGAATCGGTTCGGAGCTCCAATGGCAGGATCGCAAAATCATAGAATCTTCACTATCAGGATCATAAAAACGTAGATTCTACGAACCAAAATCATAGAATCAGAGGGGTTAGTTTGGATCGTAAAGTCGTAGAATCGTACAACAGAATCGTGATTCTGACAACCTTGCTGCTAATGTGACACTATAATCAGATGCCCTTCGACAAAACTGTGTGCGATGCATTAATCACAAACGGTGTTGTAATAAAACCGTAAAAATGATGTGAAACGTTTGCGATGGTGGAGACATCAAACACGATTCAGAATGTAGTTGCATGTGCGCTGCACCAATATGGGTTACGCCACTGTCGGGAAGGAAGGAAGCGTCAGTGTTCAACTTGACTGTTCCCGAACCAGGGGGTTTCCATTGGATGGTACTAACAGTTTTAGGATCTCCCCTTAGCAGGTTGGACGGCCCTGCCTGAAGTGACGCAGGTGCACTAACATCCAATGTCTGCCCTGCAAGCCCCTGCTTGCCTTTATCATTTTCGACAACATCCCTGTATCGACATCCGATCAGTTCATCTTCATACTTCTGAAGGAAGAATACCGATCGACTAATTAGCTCCTTTCCTTCGTTATGAACACAATCATCCCGAAGAAACCAGCTTCGCCACAGTAGCAGGAGAATTCTTAACCTCATCTCAGTGCTGCATGGGTTAAGAAGGTTCTGCAACCAGTCCACCCCGTGTAGCTGAAATGGTTTTCTGAAGGAAGATTCCAGACTCCTCGCATTTCATTCCTTAGCGTCTGTTGGGAACGTAGCATGCAATTTCAAAAAAAGTTCCTACGCTCACGCAAGATCTTTCTAGGAGATGCATAGAAATGAGGGGGGGAGTGTTTTTGTGTGTTCACATGATTATGCTACTATAGTAATCATGTTTTATAGCTTTTGTTTCAATAAAGTGCCAAGTAAATCCTTTGGGATAGTGTGGATGATAGTTGACTTGATTCTGTGCAAAAACAGAAACTTTTGCTCCCAGTCCAGGAATTTTGAAAATTCACAAGAACGTGCTTTTGATCTGGAATTTTTACACAAGATTGATATACAAATTGTCTACGTTGTCCGAATTTTTCAGAATTTTTTGAGTTACAGAGGTATGGAAAGTTTCCAGATTACTACAGACCGTTCTGTCTTAAACAGATTCTGTTTTCTATGTGTTGTTCGCTTATTTTGATGAACCTATGAGTAGTATCGGAGGGTATGAACCATGGAGAAGTTGGAATACATTAGATTGTAGAATCGAAAGTATGTCTAGAAGGGGGTGATTAGACTACTTGACCAAAAATAAAAATCTAGCCTTTCCCAATTTTAGTTCTTGGCAGATTTTAGCAACTTAGCACAAGTCAAGCAATCAACCTACACATGCAATTGTAAGAGTATAGCAGCGGAATGTAAATCATTGCATATGAAGGTAAAGGGGAGGAGTTTGGAGGGAGAAAACGCAATGTTGACACGGAGATTTTTGGTGTGGTTCCGATAGGTGGTGCTATAGTACATCCATGTTGATGGAGACTTCAACCCACGAAGGGTAACGGTTGCACGAGTCCACGGAGGGCTCCACCCATGAAGGGTCCACGAAGAAGCAACCTTGTATATCCCACCATGGCCATCGCCCACGAAGGACTTGCCTCACTAGGGTAGATCTTCACGAAGTAGGTGATCTCCTTGCCCGTACAAACTCCTTGGTTCAACTCCACAATCTTGACGGAGGCTCCCAAGTAACAGCTAACCAATCTAGGAGACACCACTCTCCAAAAGGTTATAGATAGTGTGTTGTTGATGAACTCCTTGCTCTTGTGCTTCAAATGATAGTCTCCCCAACACTCAACTCTCTCTCAAAGGATTGGATTTGGTGGAAAGATGATTTGAGTGGAAAGCAACTTGAGGAAGGCTAGAGATCAAGATTCATATGGTTGGATTGGAATATCTTGGTCTCAACACATGAGTAGGTGGTTCTCTCTCAGAAAATGAATGTTGGAAGTGTAGGCATGTTCTGATGGCTTCCCTTACGAATGAGGAGAGGGTGGAGGGGTATATATAGCCTCCACACAAAATCTAACTGTTACACACAATTTACCAAACTCGGTGGGACCGAATCATAAAACTCGGTCAGACCGATTTAGTTCATAATGTGACTGTTAGGCATTTCGGTGGGACCGACACGTCAACTCGGTGGAATCGATTGTTTTAGGGTTAGGGCATAAAATAATCTCGGTTGGACCGATTACACAAACTCGGTGGGACCGACTTCGGTAATTAGCTAACCAGAGAGTTGGTCAGGCAAACTCGGTGGGACCGATTTGCTCATTTCGGTGGGACCGAAATGTTACGAAAGGGAAACAGGGAGTTTGCATTGCGAACTCAGTGGGACGGATCGCTCATCTCGGTTGGACCAAAATGTTATGAAGGGAAACCGAGAGTTTGCAATCCCATCTCGGTGAGACCGAGATCCCTATCGATGAGACCGAAGTGACTAGGGTTTCTGGCAGTGGCTATGTCAAATGAACTCGGTGGCGCCGGATGGATCAAATCGGTGGGGCCGAGTTTGACTTTTGGTTTGGGACATATGTGGATATGAGAAAGTGGTTGGTGGTTTTTGGAGCATATCACAAATCATTTTGAGCAAGCAAGCCATTAAGCAACACCACATCCCCTTTTAATAGTATTGGCTTTTCCTAAAGACTCAATGTGATCTTAGATCACTAAAAGTAAAATGTAGAGTCTTGATCTTTAGAGCTTGAGCCAATCCTTTGTCCTTAGCATTTTGAGGGGTCCACAATCCTAATCCATGCCATGCCAATCATTGAACTTTCCTGAAATATTCATCTTGAAATAGCATTAGTTCAATGAGCTATATGTTGTTAATCATTACCAAAACCACCCAGGGATAGTTTCACTTTCAATCTCCCCCTTTTTGGTAATTGATGACAATATATAGATCAAAGTTTCAACAAAAGATAATAAGATTGAAATACATCGTCGCTTTGAGAAGTATGTGATAAACAAGAGCTCCCCCTAAATTTGTGCATTATTTAGGATTTGCTTTTGAATGCAAATGCACAATCGATTAGTATCATGGGTTACTCTTCCATGTCACATACATCTTGGTGGAGCGCTCAAAATGATAACAATTAAAAACATGCACTCATCACCAAGCAAAGTGAATGATCATATATGGATACAAGAGATAATGTCATTCAAGCACTCATTAATGTAGCATATGATCAAACACATGATCATCCAAGTATCTCACAAAAGGACATAAT